CATCCTGGACAGTCCACAGAGAGTTTGAGACTCTGGCCTTCAGTTCTAATATCTGAGGGGTTTTTCCAGTATGTTGCCAATGGGTGAATTTGGTTTGACAGGAAGAGAGCAGGCTATGAGAATTGCACAAATTATGCTTCAGGGCCCTTCCTCCACTTTGTCTAGAGTCTTTTATGCTGACTGAGCTGGATAAAAGTTCTTGAGAGGCCTGTTTAGTTTGGCAGGTTCTGTTAGGGGGCAGAGCTACTGTATGCTCGCATTCAGAGAGAAGGAGGCTGATGCAATCACAGTGTAACTACAAGTGTTCCTCAGCTTTAAGTGTACCATCAACTGTGACCACATGTAACCCTTAACAGACTCAAAGTTTGTGAGGTTTTCAACTGCCCACTAGCCACAGGCTGCCTCTTGCCCTTACTTCCTTTCTCTCCTACTTTTGAAGGTTTTTATTTCTAAACATATCCCTCTGTATATTTGCATTGCTTAATGTGATGCAGAAGCTGCCAAACAAACTTTTGTTCACATGATGTGTCAGAGGAAGCTGACCCATCTGGAAACACTGCATAAGCTGCTCATTGTGAACAGATCACATGTCTTCAAGTCTTAATAGCACACCGTTTCTAAGAGCTAAAGCTTTTTTACATAGACTTAAATGGGTAAGATACACACAAAATATCTCTGGATATTTGAGTACAGTACATAACACAAATTTATCTCTGGATATTTGATTGTTAAATATTTACCAGTATTAAATATATCAAGAGTCGTAAATGTCTTAAAAAATCAGCTGTTTCTCTCTTATTAGCATTTGGCACTTAGCATAGCTTGCTACAAACAAGTTTTGACAGTGTTTGTGTTGTGCTCAAAAGCTTATGCACAGACTTAGTCTTATGAATCATGTAATTGTGAGACTGTTTCTCAGAGCTTGTTTCCCTCAGGACACAGATGCTAACCACAAGACATTCTTTTTACAGGCAGAGAGCTGCATTCAACTCGATGGTAAATGCAAATCATCAGTGCATTTATCTGTTGTTTTGTAGTTGCTGATACCCTTTAGACAGCTTGATATTTTTAGAGAGGGCCACACTGATCAAAATAGCACAAGGAGTTTGATAAGAAGGTACATGGCGGAAAAGCAGCAGTAATTGCCTCCTGTCTGTTGCCATTTTAAGTTCCCTATCATGAACATCACTTCCTTCCTCAGTCATCTGCTTAGCCCCAACAGGCTATTTATTTTGTTATCTAAACAGTTCCTGTCTCTGTGTTTATCCTCTGACAGGTCATACAGGTTTGTGTGACTTAGCCAGGTGCTGCTATGTTATGCATCTCTGAGTGCCTTACTTGATAATTGTCTGATATGAAGTGCTGACTGACTTTATTTGCTTAAATTCAAATTCTGAACACAGGACTTTATGCATATGGGATAGTCTGATTAGGGCACTCGGCTGTATTTGACTAAGCTTTGAATAAGCCATTCTAAAACCTTATGTCCATAAAGCAAGATAATATTAAAAGGCTTATGTCCATTCGGCAGCATAAAATAATTTTGTGGACTGAATAAGAGAGATGACAGTGGTTTCTTGTTCAGTATCACAGGGTCCGGGGTGACCGGGGGTGGTCTCACGCTGAGGTTTGGGGTCAGTAACGGATCAACAAAGATACTGATTTCTTACTGTGACACTCACTTCACTGAGAGCTGTGTGAAATACTTTGTGTGTGTGTATACAGTGTTTCTGTAAACATTCTTAATGACCTTCTGTGTAGTTTATAGGGGCCACACCCCTACGAACTTATTCCTAGCAATTTGCTAAAGGAGTTTTGTGATGGTATTATTGAAAAATAATTCCCTTTTGTGTTCCACAGGAAAAAAAAAACTCATACAGATTTGAGTTTTTGGATGAACTGTCCTTTAAATATTGCACCCTTTATTATTAACATTTTAAATGTTTATCATGTGGGTGGTTTTTCAATCCATGCATGTATTTAGAGCTAGTCATGTTGTGTAAATCTCTAAGTCAAGGGCCCAATCTGTCAGTAGGCACTTCCCATTTTGAGGTCTGTTTCTTTAAGAGAAAAGGGAGGAGGAGTGTCGTCAGGCTCTGAGTTTTGAACGCCTCTTTTTTTTAAACAGAAATTCCTCTCTCAAGAGTTTGGCATTTCCTCTGAGCTCACACACTGAGAGCCCGCTCTCCTGTTTCACACAGTGCTCACTTGCGACAAAAGCGGGGATTTTCAAACATCCTGGCTGAGAGGACTCCTCTTGCCCTCGAGGAGTCTCCAAGAGAGAACTGCTGGACGATCACTACGAGAGGCATGTGCGTCTTTCTCCACATGTGCTGGGCCACAGCAAAGCCCATGTTGCCAAGCTGGTGAGTGAACTTGTCAGGGTGGGTCGCACCGATGTCCCGCCGGAGTCTTCTCTGGCCTTCCGGGGTGACTTCATCCAGATCGGCAGCTCCTATGAGGAGCACAAGGTGGGCTCACCTGACTGCTTTGACATCATCGTGCCTCTGAGGGCACCTCGTGGGCTAAAAATGGAGGCCGGTGTTTGCACTGACAAACCTGGAGGGCCACCGCTTTGCACGCTAAACACACCTCGCAAAGCGGAATGGACACGCCGTCACAAGGCCTTCATGGACACGTTCATGCACTTGCACAATGCTCAAAGAATCTATAGGATGAGCCCAGATTCCGTCCAGCGCTGGTTTTACACAGCTACCCAGCGCCGCCTCGCTGCCATCCGTTACCCGTTTGAGCAGCGCTGTTCCCTTAGCCTGTCTCTCAGTGAGGAGCAGCAGGTGCTCCTCCGTCTGACCCCCCGCTCCGATTACGTCTGCTGCCACATCTCCATGGGCATTCGCCTGATCCCTGCCTTTCCTCTTGGTGATGGCGCCTTCTTGGTAGCATCCCAGCAGGGTCAGCAAGGAGAAGACCTTTGGACGGTGTACTTTCCCAGACAGGAGCAGAGACTGCTGGCGTGGCTAAAAGGTAGACTACCCCCCAACTCGTGTCATCTGAAGTGCCTTCAGCTCCTTAAAGAGGTACGTAACCTCAGTGGGGAGACTCTGGACCAGCAGTCTGGAGCTGAGTGGGGAGGAGTGCTTTCATCCTATGCTTTGAAGACAGCTTGGCTTCGTCTACTGCTCAGTACACCCCCTGAAACCTGGGATGAGTGCAACCTTGTGGACCGGCTGGATGATCTTCTTCGTAGTCTAAGGGAGAGCTTACAGTCTCGGGCTCTCTGCCATATACTCCTCGGAGGCGTTAGTGGGTTTCTGCCAGACTCTATCGTTCTTCCCAAACTCGTAAAGGAGACGGTACCCTCCAACCTGTGGGCAGAATTCAGTGACGTCACCCTCGATATGGTCTCCGCCCGACTGGCCTACTCCTGGAACCACCTCCCTCGCCTAATTCGCCTCGGGCGACCACAGAGGACCAGTCTTGGCAGAGGTGTTCGCTGCAAATATATTGATGCAGAGTAAAGGTCAACTATAGCTGGTATTGCTGAACACAAACAGATGTTGGTTACAGATGTTGTTTATGTTTTCGGAAAATTTATGTCCGATTAAATTGGTTTTTTTTTCCCCAAAGGTAGCAGTCAAAGACAAGAATGTAAATAGTAGCATTCAGTAGGTACAGCAATACTTTTATCAAATCAGTCTTCGTTCTGTACAATGTATCAGTATTGTACTGTAATTGTAGGACGTTCTTTGAAAAGCAAGGTCATTCGAATTTCAGTTTGTGTTTATTTTCTTCTCATGCAAATTTATTTAGTATTTCTAGAGAAAAATTCTGATATGTTAAAACTTGCTGTTTAAAAGAACAGTAACCGTTTTATATATTTAGTTCACTCCAGGTGTTAGTTTGGAGATCACTCATGCGTCTGAGCTGCTAGACTTGTGTTGACTCAGGGTGACCATGATGTCTCGGTTATGGGGTAGTGAGTAGTCAAAACAGCATAAACACCAAAGTTTTTCCACACCCACAAAGTATTAGTAATGCCAGCCTAAACAGATGAACATCCAGTGTGACCACTGTAAAAATATCTTCTGCTGTGACATTTTGATCAAACAATGTAAAATGTATAGCCTGATCATTGCAAAACACCTGACAGACCCAAATATATCCTTTATTTTGAATGAATAAATGAGCAATATTGTTTCATAACTGTAGCAATTTCAGTATTGTTTAATTGATTGCTTAAGAGTTCCATAATTGGTGCTTTAGATCACCTCAGTTCATTACCTAAATTGGTCCTCTTAAGGATAAGGTACTGATGGCATGCCCTTTGCTTCACTTCATCTTACTTGTCTACAGGGACCCCAACATGCGTGCACATGATCTTCTCCCTCAGAGACATGCCTCTACCGGTTGTCACCATGGAGACATGCTACCTCAGCCCAGGGTCACTTATTCATGCTGTAGCTTTAGTTTTAATGGCTGATTGCATTTACTTTCACAAAGGAAGCAGAGATCTATATTGATCTCTTGCAGGTACTAAGTGCCACAGGCTTAGTTTGTTAGTCTCTTTCCTGTTCATACCTCATCCATCAACCTGTTCTTGAACAAAGTGTTCATGGTCATGTATGTCAGACATATCTTAGTTTCATCAACTTCACAGGGAAATGTTTGTGGTACCTAAGCAAAAGTCTTTGAGGCTTATTTTTGTCTGTTGTCTGAAAGCAGAACAGAAAATGAAATAAGGAAATGAAACAGGACACGCTCTGAAAACAATCCTTAAATGTAGTCCAAAACAAGTCATATAAAATACAGAGTAACTAATGTTGAATGTATATTTATATTAATGTATATGTCATTTAATGTATATTTGGTACTGTATGTGAATGTAAGTTAATTGTAAAGCACATTGTACTTGATGTACATATTAGAGAAAAACAATCTGTGTCTGTGTCTGTGTGTGTGTGTGTGTGTGTGTGTGTGTGGTAGACATAATTTATGCATGTACTTTAATACATGAATTGAAATAAATATCTATATTTTGGACTGCACACAGTTTTGTTGAATATTTGCTGTTTGTAACACCTAAAACAATTTTTGACAGTGGTAGAGAAAATAGAATATGGAAACAGAACGGAAAGACTGCATGCCATATCAGCAATTTATTATTTTATTTGCCATATTTTTTTCTATAAACAGCTGGTGCGATTGTCTTCAATTAAAAGAAATATACATGCTTCAGGTAAAAAAATAAATAAATAAATATATATATATAATTTTTTTGAATGCAGTCTATACATTTGTATAGACTGCACAGTACAGCTTGCTCTTTTTAATTTTAATATTTTATTTTTCATAATAAACTCCAAACGAATTTATTTTCACTCAGGCACAGTCACCGTAATTATCTTCTGTGGAGTCTTGTTTTTCAGTGTTTATTCTCAATTGAGTGTTATATTTAGAGCAATGTGGCTCAGTGTAAATTGTAGTGTGGCATAAAGCTGGTGCTCTCTAACATAAGGATATCATCTCATCCTTTCTAATTATCATTTAATTTATGCACTTGCTTGCAGGATTTGATTTGTTGGCAAAGATGACCACAGCTGTAGTCATGGACATATTATTGCATTGGAATGTGGGTGCCACAAGAGGTCAGTATGTGTTTGGGGGACAAATAATTTAGGATAAAAAGAGTTTAATTGAAAACAAAGTCAATTCTGCTTGTTTTAACAATCTCACAGTATGCAAGGTAAAATGCTCTGTATCTTTATAGTGTCTAGCTCCCTCTAATAATCATTTCAAATGTGACAGATGTCTTGGGTGTAGGTGGGCCATATAGATTTACTCAAACATTCTCTATGAACCCAGTCATTTGGAACTTAAAGTGGATATATGGCACCTAAATTTAAAGGAATAGTTCACCCAACATTCCTGCAATCATTTACATAATATGCTTCATGTTCACCCTGAACGCTCAAATGACTTACTTTAGCAATTAGTCAACAACAATATGTTTGCATCTGTCGAGCTCCAAAAAAAGCATCATAAATGATCATATATTCCAAGCTTTCTGAAATCAAATGATAGTTTTGTGTGTGGAACAGACTGAAAATTAAGTCATGAATAAGCTATTTACTTTAAATTTTGCCTGCCAGCTGGGGCCACCATCCATTTTAATTGTACAGAAAAGAGCAGCTTGGACATTCTACTATAAATACTGTAACCCTTTTGTGGAAATCATATGGGTCAAAAGACACTGTGAGAAAATGACAGAATTGTCATTTTGGGTGAACTATGTCTTTAAAACATAGCAGAAAGATGCCTGATATGACAGCAGAGGTCACTGCAAGTCTATGTTTAATTTTTTTTATCAGGCATCCACAGGTTCTCGAGAACAGAAACAAATGAAGCACCTGAAATCACACAATCTCTCTCCCTCTCAGTATTTTTCTGTCTGCATTCAACTGTTTATCATATCATCCTTCTATCATAAAAATATGAATGTTTTCCCTCATCCATGCATTTGTATTGAAACAATGGGTTACACTTGAAATCTCTCTTAAAATCCTTAATGGTTTCTTAAGTCTTATTTATTTCGAATGTTGTGATTTCTCAATTCTGTTATTTTCTGTTCTATTCTATTCCATGTGCCGACCTAAAACTTCCCAAGTATTATTTACTCCCAATGTTCTTCTATTTAAACATCTTAGTTTTTTCCTTGCCCATGTCACTTTTTGGCTTCCTCACTAGTTAGTTTGTACAGCACTAATTTATTACTAATTTGTTTACTAATTTATTACCAATTTGTTTACTAATTTATGCACATTTATTTTTGTACAAAATGTATGATTTTTTTTTAAGTCTCTTATGCTCACAAAGGCTGCATTTATTTGATCATAAATGAGTAAAACCAGCAATGTTGGGAAATATTAGTACAATTTCAAAGAATTGTATATATTTTTAAAATGTAAGCTGAATTTTCAGCAGTCAATAAACCAGTCTTCAGTGTCACATGATCCTTTAGAAATCATTTTAAAATGCTGATTTTCTGCTCAACATTACTGAAAAAAAAATGTTTTATCAATGTTGAAAGCAGTTGTCCTTCTTTATTTTTTTGGTGAAAACCATAATTCTATTTTTATTTTATTCAAGATTCTTTGATGAATAGAACGCTCAAAAGCTCAAAATAGCATTTATTTGAAAAATAAATCTTTTGATCAATTTAATGTTTCCTTACTGTATAAAACTCAAAAATAAATTTGATAAATAATTTCAAAAAGATAAAATAAAATCAATCTTATTGACTAAAACTTTTTAACTGTAGTGTATGTTTTTCAGGTGCTGTAGTTCAGTCAAACACTCTCTGTGAAATTTTAGACCCCAAAACCTGACATGCTCCATACATGCCGAGTTTGGTGAGCGAGGCCTTTTAGCAACAGGTCATGTGCCACTGCCGTTTCCAAGGAAACTTACTTTAAAGTTCCTTGTGATCTACCCACTCAGATTACAATGTTGCACCACAAATGCCCATCCTGTCATACAGTGGGTATAGAAAAGAATCACTCCCCTTTAAAACAATCACATTTTGTTGCTTTGCAGCCTGAAATGAAGACAGTTTTTGTTTTATCCAGCTACTGTATTTATTTACTGCAACTTATAACTTTCAAGTGAAAGATATAACACCAAAAGGTTTTTTTTTTTTTTTTAAATAAAAATAAAAAAACAGAATCACTGCATTGGAAAAAGGATCACCTTTAACTGAAAAATTAGTGTTTACTATTGTCATTTTTGCATTATTGACACACTATTTTCCTAATTAATGCTGTTCAGTTGCTTTGACACAATCTGTATTGTTAAAAGCGCTATATAAATAAAGGTGACTTGACTTGACTTGACAAGGCAAGGACATTCAGCTTTTTCTCCTTCAACCTCTGTGTGCTCAGTTTTGATGTGTGCTTTGGGTCATTGTCATGTTGGAAGGTAAACCTTCTCCCCATTGACAACTTTCTGGCAGAGGGCAGCAGATTTTCCTCAAGAATTTGATGGTATTTTGCCCCTATCCACTTTTCCTTCTATCCTGACAAGTCCTCCAGTCCCTGCTGTAGAGAAACACCCGCATAACAGGATATTACCACCTCCATGCTTTACTGTAAATGCTGTTGTAACAATGTTTGTAGATCGGGGAAGAAGGAGGCGGGAACCGGCGAACATTTAAACATAAAACTTTAAGAAACAAATGAACAAACACAAAATGAAAGTAAAATCGGCAGCCCTTCATGGACGACTGCCGCATAAAACATAACAAAACAACAACATAAATAATCCAGGCCTGGTCTTCTCTCATCTTGCACTGTCGTCACTCCTCCTTTTTATCCTTCTGGAGCTCCACTATGGGACTCGAGACCGGTGAGTGGCGCAGGTGTCGCTCATTATTATTTACTCCACCTGCCTCGCTCCACTTCCACGGCTCTCGACCCCACCCCACTCGTCACAGCTGTTATTTGGATGGTGAGCTGTATTGGATTTCTGTCAGACATATATCGTTTGGTGTTGAGACCAAATAATTCCATTTTAGTCTCATCTACCTCAAAATCTTCAAGGTGTGTTTTGACAAAGCTCAGTCGTGACTGCATGTGGCCTTTTTTTAGAGGAGTGGCTTTTTTCTTGCAACCCTCCCATACCAGCCACATTTGTGGAGAATTTGTGATATTTTTGTCACATGCACACAATGACCACTCTTTGTCATAAATTCCTGCAGCTGCTTCAGAGTTGCTGTAGGACTCTTGGTCGCCTCTCTGACCAGTTTCTCGGCCTCTTGGTTGCCTCTCTGATCAGTTTCCTCCTGGCTCTGTGAGGGAGGGTCTGTGTTGTACCAAATACCTTCCATTTCTTAATAATAGACTTCACTGTGCTTCTAGGCATTGATAAAGCCTTTGAATTTTTTTTGTATCCATCTCCTGACTTGTGCCTGACTGTCCACAACTTTATCCCAGAGATCTTTTGACAGTGCCTTGTCAAACATAGTTAATTGTTTGCTTCAGTTGCACTACCAAGGACTGAAATGCTCCAGGAAAGCTCTTTTCATGCTGAGCTGATCAAAATTACCACAGCTGATCACAGTTGAAAGTCAAATGTCTTTTTGTGCCATTGAGAAGGTGATTAGCTTCACCTGTTTGAGTTTACATGTCATTTTTAAGAAGGGATGATCTTTTTTCTAACTCACTGATTCCGATTTTCTTTTTTTCTGACATGTTGGTGTTATATCTTTCACTTGGATTTTATAAGTTGCACTGAGTAAAGACAGCTGGATAAAACAAAAACTGTGTCCATCTTCATTTCAGGCTGCAATGCAAGAAAATTTGATTATTTTAAAGGGGGGTGATTCTTTTCTATACCTACTGTTTACAGATAACACAACTCATAGGCTCTCCAAACCCTTCCCACAACCATGTTTTAAAGACAGCAGCACGTCGGCGTACCTCAGTCACAGAGCAGCAGGTGGCCGTACAGACCCCAGCTCTCGTAAACTCCCCGTGTAACGTGTTGCCGTAGCAGCAATTAGCCCTTTCACCTGCCTGTCTCTCCTCAGCCTCTCCACTCTGTCCGTGGTGAAGGGAGCAACAAGTGGTTGCAGCCAGCGAGGTGCTGTAAAAATGGGCTAGAGGAGGCGGGGAGGGATGCAACGGATTTGATAACCATCAGTGCTTCTGCAAACCTGGATGAGTCACTGGTCTCTTAAAGAAACACAGGGCAGGAGGGGAAGGAGGGGAGGAGGGCGCTGCTCTCTCCAGGGAGAGCTGGCTGTCTTGCGTGTCATTTGTGAGGACTAGGCACGATTGGAGAGGGAGGTAGGAAAGAGAGGGAGATTAGGAGTGTCTGGGTGGGTGGGATTGAAGATGATGGGGAGGAAGAGGAGATAGAGAGATAGATATATAGATAGATAGAGAGGGAGATGGGGTTTGTTTGTTGTTTTGTATTTGGCTCATCATCACTCTTGAAGTAAATTTTGTAAGGATGAATGGAGGTTCACAGAGACCTGAATTCA